CAGCTACATTAAGCACCTTATTAGGAAACATACTAACATAACTGACATTTAAACTCTCTTGGGCATTTAAAAAGTACCTGGCTGAGTTAGATGCACTTAGCCACTCATTTAAAAATTTTACACTAAAGAGCTTTATGTAATTTATAGATAGTAAACAAACACAAAATATATTTAGCTAGACTGGAAAATACTAGTACCATACAAAATTGGCTCAACTCAGATGTTACAAATCAGCTTATTGTTAAAAACCACACAAAGCAATTGTTTTACATTAAGAGAACAGGATAACCACACGCATTCCAGAGTTTGAGCTCCTTAAGATCAGCTATGCGTATTCATTTGTTTTCAGTTATCATGGGTTTTTTCTTTAATAACTGTTTGCCTCTTAAAATTTAAGGGCATTTATAATTGGTAAATGACTTCCATCCAACACAGAACTCCACAATCTACTGTAGCTCAGCTACAACTATTTGTGGAAGTGGACAGCAATTAGCAAATAATGGAGACAGGCATCTGGGAAGGCACACCCTTCATGATCAGCATTAGTTATTGTTTACAATAGCAAGTTTTAACTATTCCAGTAAAAAATGCCTTAAGAAATCACACAATACCAAGCAAATCGTGATCTGGTGTTGTTACGTTACTCAGTAACAACTCATGACTTCAGAATTAGAAGTTACTGCATTTTATTTTAAGATTTCTGCAGCCAACAGCCTCAGTTCAGAAGAGTAACTCTACTCATGAAGTTTACTTACACATTTAAGTCCCACTGAAATCAATCACATAACTCTGTTGAGAAAGTATTAGGTTAGTAAAAGCTACAGTGCTTCCTTGAGTGAAAGCACCGGATGCTACGCATGTAATTATTTTCACATTTTTGATAATCCACACCAAGACATTTATCTTGTTTACCTAAAAAAGCCAGTACACGCTGCTCATGCTTTCAAAAGCGCTTATCCTGCATACAAGTGAAGAGAGGGAGAAAGAGACTTACATGGACAAGTTAGGAGATGGAACCCTACTATCATCAGCTAGGTTCCCAAGGTGGCTCCGCGTTGAAGTCGAACTGCTCTCTATAAAGCACTTCTCCTAAACCCTCTGGATAGTTGTAAACCTGATCAGAGATTTTGCCCTGTGGGAGAAAATGCACACAAAGGCAAAAATTGACAACAAGAACAAAATAAAAGCTTTATCTTAAAAGACATGACAAATTTTTAGTTTTGCTTTTAAGGGGGATTGCAACATCCCATTGTTAAAGTCTACAATCACATAAAATGCCCAGTTTTCAACAGCGAATGCAAACTGAGCCAGATGAAGTCAGTTAGATGAAGAACTGCTAACGCACAAACTAGGCACACAAAACTTATCTGTACTCTTCTTTCACAGTCTAAATTAGAAGATTTTCAAACCTAAAGGCAAGGAGCTCTATGTGATCCTACTTTACAGGAGAAGATCTTAACTTTTGACTGCTGTCTCAGAAACGTTTTTAACCCACTGCAATTTTTCCCCCCTCCCGTGCAACTTCCTTTCTGCTCCTTTGCCATATTCTTTCTCTGCTGTGAATGGAAGTGATACGTGGGTGAAGTTCTGGGATGAAAATAATGCTTTATATAGTGAGGGTGAATACCATATGTACAAGTCTAGAGGTGAGCAAGACTGCAAAAAGAAAAATTCATGCTTGCCTTGAAGAATGAGAAAATAGTTTAGCTGACCCTAAAGGCTGTTATACACAACACTAAACTTGAGCATTTTAAAGTAGAAGGCTTGTTTACTCAAATTAAGGTAAAAAGTCATACAAAACAGTAAAATGAACATAGAAAACACTTAAGGAAACTTTAACCAGCCCTGCTGACAAACAGTTATTCCTTCTAAATAGACCTATCAGATTGTAATGGAATTAAACACACTACAGAACTCAAGTGTAAACCCAAGACATACCAAAGTCTCCACAAATTCACTGTGGTCTATGGTATGAAGTGCAGAACATACCAATACATATTAAAAATGAATCTTCACTGCTGTCATTATTTAAACAAGATTATACATGCAGACTACAAAAACCTGGCTTCTGGAAATCACCTAACCCAAATGGTCATCTTTTGAACCACGTTACAGTTAAGCTGAAGTATATTTTTCCAGAAGTGTATTTTCTTGCTCTTAGAAAGCTAAACTAGTATACTCTGTACAGTACTGAATTACAAGCAAAGAGAATGCAACTTGAGAGCAACTGTTTCACAGCAACTCTACAGCACAATCTCTTTGGCTTTGCCATATGAATTAGCATTAGCATTCTGCAACATAATATTAAATAAAAATATCAGTTTTGAAGCATTGAGGTTTCAAGGACTTGTCAGCTAGAGTTAGTATGTGCAGTGTATTTAAACTTTTTCCTTTCATTAAAGCTAGTCAGTAATATCTCATTTTCAGATTACACATACCAGTTTTAAAAGCAGGCAACATTTTGCTTTTGTAAAATTAACTAGTAGTTCCACTCTTTGCTAACGCTGTTCTGATTATACAGAAGAACTCAAACAATTTTTTCAGCAAGCACAAATTAAGTTTACCTTCCTCGCAAAGCCAATCATTAAAAACAGTGCTTCTAGGGGGGAGCACATGACCTTTAGCGCAAAGCTTAAAAGGCCATGTTTCAGACGAATGTAATCAGCAGTACTATTACCATATTCTCACACGTCCCAAGAAGAAAGTGCAGTAGCACAGTTTCCTTGGTGTTGGAATGAAAACTGATCATTTTCTGTAGTGACAGTTAAGCATAAAACCGTGCTAAGTTCTAGCTGCACTTCAGATCTTCTTTTAAATGAGAAGTATCTATCTGAAGTTTCTACACAATTGTGTAGATAATACAGTTTTACTTGCCTCTTTCCAGCAGCTTTGCAGATATTAAACATTCAGAGATGAATACAGCGTGATTTAAGGCTTTTAAATTGCAACAATTTTACTCTGTAAGGCAAATAATTAAAAAAAGCTAGTTTGCTCTACTGCAGTAAAACAGGATTACCATTTTCACACAGTAGACATCCATGTCCATAACTCACGTGGACAATCGTAGTTTTAAAGAAATTGCCCAGGTGAAGGGCCACAATGAAATGTTCTATTGTTTAAAGATCTTAAAGTCTCATACGAGTGTTCTTTGCTAAATAACAAGCTTGAAGTTGAGACTAATCAACAAGGCAGCTTTGTCTTTTAAAACTCAAGTGACACCTCTATGTCTTTACTCATATACGTATCCATAAATATACCCTACTAGCAGGTGCTTCAAGTTGGACTGCAGCTGCACTTTATATTTGGGTAGTTAACAGACGTCTGAAGATGATAAACCCTACTAGTCATCCACAGGATGCATATCTGCCAACACAACTGCATTCACCTGACAAACCCTACCAGAACCAGTGGGCCAGTCAGTGCCAGGCCCTTCCCAGCTCCTCTGCCCTTTCCACCCCCCCAGTCTGATACAGACAGGCCTACAAAACTCTGAGCATAGATTCATTTTCTTTGACAAAATGATCCACTGCATCTCTCAACTTCTGAAAAAAACATCCTTAGTGCCCTGAGCTGAAATATCCATGAACCAAACCATAGAAATGTAGAAGTGTAATGACCTCACATTCATACCAACTGACAGACTTGGAGGCACCAGTTACTCTGGTTCCAGAAAAAAAAAAAAATTGCTATTCTTTTGTTACAATAGCTCTTGTCCAGACCAGCGCTAGGACATTTTGGTGAAGCAGTCCCTGCAGGAAAGCACTGGTCTGCTTGCTCTCCTGAAGAGAGCGCCAGAAATTCTCCCATTTACCCTTTCTTCAGCACTAGGATCAACAAGGATCAGCACTAGGATCTTTGAACTGAAACTTACCCTTATATCCAATCCAAATTAGTCCATTTGCACATGATTAAGTCTCCCTTCAGGAAGGGACAGTCTTAATTCCCTGCCACAGCAGCCTATCTCTCCTTTAATTGGAGAAATTGAATCGTTTTCAAATCATGCAATCCAGTTGAGCATTACTCCCTACATACACCTGCACCAACGTTTTAGGAAACAATCCACGCACCAGACTAGCCACGATGCAGAAGCTGCTTGCCTCAGGGCGGCCTGCAGCACTGAAAGGTACAGTAACTCTACCTCTCGCCTTGACTAAAACAGTCTCCACAGCAGAAACATTTACATTACTATATCACCACAAAACAATACCGTCTCCCTCACAAACTGATGGAAAGACCCTTCTTTCTCTCAGGCTTAACCACGTTCCTCCCGGGGTTCAGGGATGCCAGAGGGAGCAGCGATGGAGGAGAGGCTGGCCACGGGCTGGCGCCCAGCTCAGAGCGCACCAGGCAGAGCCGGGAGGGGAGGGGGCGATCCCCAGCACTCGCCACGGCCTCCCGGGCACGGGGAGGGGGCCGCAGTGTCACCAGCGGCAGCAGCATTGTTCACACGGTGACAGGAAGGGAAGAACTGGACTGGACCAGTCCAGACTGGAACAAACCCCTCCTACCATGGCTGTTATTCACAGCCCCCCATCTCCCCTCCAGCACTGCTGCTTCTCACATTTATCATGGGAAGAATAGCAAGCAAGTGCAGTATCTTTAGAGCCAAAAATTCAACAGCTGGGGTGGGGGCGGGGGCAGAAGTGGGGCAGCGCTCCACCTCAATCCCGCAGCATAGGAAGCCCAGCCATGCTGCTCATTAGGCAGCATGAGGAAAGAAGGCAGAGCTAACCCGCTTTACTGGGCCCTGCGCTGTGTTTTAGTTCAGGGCAGCTATATTCGCCTGGGACTACACAATCAAATCATGCTCAGTCACCAGAGGCTGCTGCAGAGGTCTGAAACGCAGTACTTCTGCCTGCTGACACACATTGGCAGTGCAGGATTTCACACTGCAGAAAATACACCTCAGAAAGGCTCGAAAGATTTAAGCTTACTTACTTTTCTCTTAACCACAGCTTGGGTCCATCCTAGCACAGACACACATCTTCTCTGGCTGCGAATGAGTCTAGACTACTCGCTGAAAAAGATCTGCAGTGCTGTCTAGCAACAAGCTCCACCATTTCAGAGGCTGTGTTTTCCCCTGTTTGAACAGTCCCCTTAACATAGGCATAAAAAGCACTACTGTCCTTCACTCCCACACTGTGCTTACAGCTCCTCTAAGCCAGTGACAGGTTGCTCCTCTGCTGACATCTCAAAACAGGCAAGGGAACCATGGGGAGCACATGCACACTAAGGGGATACCCTGACATCCAGGCACACGCTTTACACAGGCATCCAGCTGGTAGCTGAGCAACAACTCAACCCTCTTCTCCATACTTTCCTAAAGCCACTGAAAAAGCGGCCAACTGGACAAGTACTGGCCACGGCAGCCAAATCAAGGAGGTTGAGACTCAACCAAGAGACTTCCAGAAGAACTGGGAGCATCAACCCTGCTACTGCTACACTGACAGACTTATCAAGGGGAGGGGAAAAATAAGTGTCCTTGAGACAACCAGAAGGAAGAGAGAAACACCTCAGACAAAGGGAGACTGCTGAGCTGGAGGAAAAGGACTCCACTTTCTTCTGAACTCTGCTGGACATCTATGTTAACAGAATTTGCCCCGTCATTCCAGCTCTTGTCACAGAAAGAGTCACTTGTGCAACACCCTGAAAGCTCGCGCTGCCACTGTCCTCCTTGGAGCCCCCCGCCATCAGCTGAGCTAACCAGGAAGGGGTCTGCTCTCTCCAGGGCGAGCGGCAGGCGCTCAGGGCAGCCGCTCAGGTGAGGGGGTTGGGGAAGAAAAGTGTGACAGCGCAAGGCGAGAACCCGGATGGATAGTCACAATCACAAACGCACAACATGGCCTCTGAGAAGCGGGTGAGCAGAGACTCCTCTGCCATGCCACAAGCTCTTCTCCTGCTACTAGCCAGGCCTGCCCTGAAGCCCCCTCCCAGC